TGCAAAGGTGTTAGTAGAGACAGAAGGCCAAATTCATCAGCTTTATTTATTGTAAGACTATCTCTGCACATACAAGTTGCCAGCACACTATGCTATAACAGCACTTACTCAGCAGGTTGCCTCAAGAGCAAAGTTTGGTTATTTAAATAGGGGAAAAATAATTCAAGAGAACTGTATCACTTACGGGAAGATTTCTACAGAGAGGCATGAGTTTTCAATCCCTGTGACAATTGCAGAAAATGTTGCTATCATTTGCATCAAGTGGGGAAAAATGATCTTGTTTTTATTTGAAGAGATGCTCTTAAAATTTACAAACAGCTCCTTGTATTATATAAATCAGCCTGTCTCACCCTGCCAATTTCCACAAAGCTGAACAGCTCCCAGCARCTGAAGATAAGTCCTGTTGCTGCTGGTTATCACTTGGTTCATGACTCAAGTAACAGATTTCTCAGGCTACCAAAGGATAAATTACCACCCCAGGTAAATTAAGTGCAAGAAAATAGGATGTCTTCTCACAGAGTCATGCACTGGTGAACTTGCCTGCATGTGTCTGCAGATACCCACACAAAGTGTTCAGAGCTGCAATCAAAGGTCTCAGGTAAGCCTATTGAGCAGCCTGCTCAGTCCCTCCTGCTCCAAACCCCGGGCTGGGAGGTGCCCTCTGCATCGCAGCCCCACTTTGCAGGGCAGGAGGCAAGGCTGGCCCACGCACACAGCAGTTGTCCTGGCAGAGAGTCCAAGGCAGCTCAGGATGTTCTGGGAACCCTATCCGTAGAAGGCAGCACACGGTTACGAAGTGTCTCCTATCCAGATTTCCCCAGCTCAGAAGGGTTTTGCTGCCAACTGCTGCTTCTCTCATCACARCACAGATTTTTCCTCCTACTGACATTCATAGTATCATTATGATTCCCCAAGTGGACATTTTCAGATGCAATTTATTATGTTCTCTTTAACTCTGTGAAGTTATTGAGACCCTTGGGACATCCCCTGCTGTGCAGCATTCCGGTAACTGACACTTGGAGGGATAACTGTAAAACTAAATTACAAGACAAAGCAGGAAGGAGTGCGATGTGAACTTATCACCTATTATGTCAGCCTTGCATGTAACAGGCAGTCAAGCCTCATGCTGAGAACTAGATCTAAAAGGTAAAATGTTTATAAAARGTTTCAAGACATTGAGAAAAGCTTCAAGAGTTTGAGGGCAAGACAGTTTTGCCTGGTAAGGACAAAGATCATCTCCTGGTGGGACCTGTGATCCACCTGACTTCAGGACCACCTTTCTACAGCCAGACATGGCAATATGATAGAGTTTTTCCACCTATTATCTCAATATCTATTTTCTATCACAAGGCTAGAATGAGAACAGACAATTTGGATAGTAATTTGCCCCACCCGCRACCACATGCTGTTTTTTGTCTGGAAAAAAACACTTGAGAGGCCTAAGCATGTGATAAAATGATTTACACCAGTGAAGTAAAAACAAGAATAACTCCACCTGTTAACTTCTGCTCTTAAGTATTAACATAAACAAAAGATAAATTGCATTCTGTAAACCACAGTTCTTTAGAGCAATAGCTAGAAAGACTGAGATGCTCTTTCATCTGCTTCTTGCATTAGGGCTAGAGTTAAAAGGAAAAACTGCAACAGCATTTCCACTATGAAGAGCCTGACATACCAGTAATTGCCTCGCAATCCAAGAATGTGATTACAGTGGGTGAGATTACAGCACACAACAGGGTAATAATATAAAGTTGGTTTATTAATCCTGAAGTCATAAAGTTTGCACTTTCATATTCCAGCTCACACAAAGTCAAAGTAGCAGTAAGTGATGGTGCTTCCTGCCAAATCAACCCCAGGAAGTGCAGGAATCCCACTCATTAGAAACCTACATTTCACCGGATTTCCAGCACTAAACAGGGTGGTAAATAGCCTGGTTATCACAAGTGAGTGCCAGTCATGCTAAAGCTTGTCAAGGAAAGACAAATAACCCTACCAGCAGAAAGGAACAAGGAAGACATCTGTGCTTTAGCTTTACTCGAACTCCAAATTTGTTGTTTTCAGACAGAATTGAGTAAGTTGGGCAGGCTGAAAATGCAGGAGCCAGGAAAGGCGCATAGGGGTTTTTCCTACCTTTTATGCTTACAGCAGCTCCTGTTTCTTTGGGACCTCACAATCTAACCTGACAAACTAACACTGACCCCAAGAAAATAGTAAGAAGATATAGTAAAGAAAATAGTAAAAACACCTGCCTGCATAAAACASAAAATACAGCCTTAGATTATACAACATTCTGTATTTCATATACAACATTTTGCTTTACCTGGAATTTAAATTCATATCTGCAGAGGAGAAACCAGTTTCACTTCTACAGACTTCTAGGTAAAAATCAAAATGAAGATAAAAGGCACAAAGAAAAAGTGCAGGCACACAAAATACTTCAGAGAAATATAGATGGAAGAGAAAAATTGAGGTGTTCTGGCTGCTGCTTTGCTCTCCCAATCAAAGAGACAAGTGAAAGCTGTGATTGCCCCCAGAGACAAACGCCTGCAATCCCAGCTCCAGCAAAGCCCAGCCTGGAATGCGGAATGACCTCTGCTGGCTGAGGGTGCAAAGCCACAGCAGCCTCCAAAGTTATTACCTCGTGCTCGTTTTAAAAAGCAGGATGAGGCCAGATTGAGACACAAACAGTGTGAAAAGAGTCACTGAAAACAAGCCATTTGAGCTGACATTTGTGGCCAGCCAGGGGCCCATAGGAAATTTAAATCACTGATAAAGGATTATGTCCTTGACCTGCCAGTAGCTGACTGATGCAGAGCATCTGTTTACTGACATCTGGGGCTTCCAGCTTTCTGGATCCTCTGGAACTTCCCATCTTCCTTTTTAATAAAAACGCATTTCCCTGCACATTATATGGTTCCAAGAAATAAAAGTCCCTCYACAAGCTTCGCAAGTTCCTGTTCATTAATATGCCCAGCTTTTCTGATAAAGATTAATTCAAAATGATTTACAAGGAAAAAAATGGAAGTAAAGAACTGCTGTGTAATTACACCTTCTTAAAATATAACACAAAGCAGCAGTGACTACGGAAAGCTGGTCTACTGGATTTGTTTTTTGGCACACTTATTTAAAGAAAGTCAGCATTAGAAATATGTTGGTGCCCTGGTATTCTTCAAACAGAAAAGTGATTTTGAAAGCTGCCCCTGAAGCACAYGCAGATCCCAGCCTCACCTGTGAGTGAACATGGTCAACCCTCGCTGTCAGACTGGAGCAGGGCCAAGCACACCGAGAGCAGCCAAGAAAAAGCAGTGTTTGGGTTCTTCACTAAAATCTTCAGGAGCAGTAAAAAAACATATAGAAGGGGAAAAAGCAGGCAGGATGGGAAAGGCTTGCACTAGGTGCCTGTTTGGGAGCTGGAATACTTCACTACACTGTAACAGCAGGCACAGTTGGATGCTCAAGCACAGCAGCCCTGACAAATCAACAAAATTCAGTTACAGCAAGGGCTATGCCCCAGTTGCACAGAGCAGCCTCCCTGCCTTCCATACCRAAGGTTTTTTATTTAACAAGATTGACACTTTTCTGCTGGTCAGGCACAAGTGGCTGCTGGGCTCAATGGGAGAGGGACTTGCWCTGCTTGCAAGCCAGTTTAAAGTCCTTTCTTTGCCAAGGCTTGACTGCCTTYTCCCCTCTGCAAGTATTACACCCTTAGTGCATACACAACCTGCCCCTTACATAGAGTGTTTTGCAGACAGGATCTCATCCACAGCAGCACACTTTCAGTATATGACATCAGAGCACATTAAACTTGCTCTTAGTGCAAAAGAAAATCATTGGGCTTTTCATTTTGATGCCAGAGCAGAGAAGAGAAGAGGATTATGACTATGAACTCTGCCATTTAGGGAAAAAGAGGAGAAAAGTTCAGCTCACCCTGAAATGCTTCTGTATTGAGATCTTCAGTTGCAAGTTAACATTAAATTGTTTTCAGGAAATATGGTCCAACAAAAAAGGGTCATTAAGGCAATTACCTACCCTCAAATGCCACCTAATAATTCACATGTTGCATTAGTCAAAAAGATACTGTAATAAGTTTTACTCAGTACCAGTTGAGGAAGAGAATCCACAGATAACCCTGAWAAAGGCTCCATAATCCTTTGTCACTCAGGTTTTTAGGAAAGTTAGACTAGACATTATCTATCAAAAACCCTAATTATTATTGTTCATTTTTCAAGAAATTCTGAGTGTTACTTCTTTACTGAAACATGTCAATAAATGTCCATATCATAGAAATATTCTACTTATCACAGCTATGCAGAGGGATGAATATGCAATTCCTAGGAGATTGTTACTGCTCAGGCTAAATCCTGATGTTTCTCTGAATTTCTTTCACCTTCTGAATAATGACTTCAATGCACTCATGTTCTTTGTCAACGAAATACATTAAATGTGGGAAGCAAAGGAAAATTTATGCCACTTGCTTTGTGTATTTACATGCACATTATGTGTGAATATTACAAAAAACCATGCATAAAACAGGCAGAGAACTTAAAGGAGGAACAGGGAGGGAAAGTACCTGTCCTTCCAGCCCTGGCTCAGGTGATGTTTGCTTGGTTATAGTCATAGAATTTATATTCAGAAGAGTGCATTAAAAATATTTAATTTGATCTTCTGAGTATCAGAAGACAGTTAATTTCAGTCAGATACTGTACTAAATACTCTCGATTTGACTAAACCTAGGTTAGTGCTTGGCTAATATACATTCTACTCCTGAGCTAATAGATCCTCAACCTTTGAATATCTGCACTGCCCTTGGTAATTTGTTCCAGAATATAATCAATCAATTGCATTAAAAATGTACCCAGGCTCTAATTTCAATTTGTATGGCTTCATCCTCCAGTGAAATGCTGTATGCTCTAACAGATTAAAAAAAGCCTTTAAGGACCAAAATTTTGTCTCATGGAAAGAGTACATTCAAATTGCACTCAACCCTTTCCATAAGCTAAATAGTGYCAAGCCATTTTGTCCTGTCTCCAGATAATTTCTTAACTTTGTTCTCTCCATTTTAACACTCCATTTTCAGAATATAAGTGGAAACAGTTATTTTAAAACACTGTTTAGTCCATCCTCAGCTTTAAGGATTTACTAAGCTATATTTTGAGTCATGAAGTAGTATCAAAGCAGGAATGTTGGCAGGGTTGTTAACATGTAGATCTCTAAAGGACACTAAACTGYGCTATACAAGAACATACAGGCAATTTAAAGCAGCTATACATAAGTGAGCACACACTGGCACTGGCCACGCTCTCTGAATAGCAAAGAAATGCAGGCAGAGATTCTCTACTTTTCCTAACCTCTTTGGATTGCAAAATGAGAGGGCAAAGTGACTGGGTATTAGAAAACCCCTGCAGGCTCTGGTCAGATTTGGATCCCTCTGCCCATCACATTCCTAAACCACCACTCTGAGCAGAACAGCTGGAATTTACCCTTTGGCCCAACCTCTGCTCCCTCTGACCTTGGCCAGGCACCAGCAGCTCAGACATTTAAGGACAGTTCTGCAGGCATCTGCTTGGCAGAGCCCATCCTTTTCCTACTGTAACTCAGAGCTCCACTTTCCATCAGTTGCTGGGACTTCAAACACTAGTGCCGGACCTGAAAACAACTGCAAATTGTTTTCCTTTTGCTGCAAAGGGAAAACAAAAAATGAAACTACAGTGCTCTGCCTCCCCAGCCCCATTCAGCACTAGCAAACACTCTCCTAGGCATGTTGCAGCAGGTAGATGAGCTTAGAATCAGTTTTAAAGCCTTCTTGGAGCCTCAGTTATTATGGTCCTGGGTCTAAACATTGTGTGGCAGCAACAGTAAATCTCATGAGAAAGGATGACCACAGAAGGATCTCTGGTAACAGATTTCTCTTGCCTTTTGGTGCCTCTGGGAAAAAAAACAAGAAAGGCCTCATAAGATTGACTAAAGGAAATATATTTAATATATTGCTATTGACAATGACTTTTTCACTTCACAATCTCCCTGTGTAACTGTGCAACACAAGAACAGACTGATATTAAGACAATAAAGGTTAAAATACAATAGGCCAAATCCCACTATTTTTATTCCTTTGGATGGACTCCGAGCCAATAGTTTGAAATGACAGAGCAAGCTTTCCAAAACACTGCCCACTCCATAAATCAGTCTGCTGAAGCTGCTCTTAAGCACTGCTGACAGGTAAAAACTGCAGGATAGATTTCTCAGAGTGTGTTCTCCCTTTCTGAAGCTTTATTTCTCATTGGCACTATTTTACTCAAAGCTCAGGGAAGGAACACATCAGGACACTCAAAACTAAGCACAGCAAGAAGGCAATGTCAGAACCAAGTCATTARCTGAAATCTTAAATGCCAAGTGAGCCATGAATTACCTGCACTTGTAAAGATGCTGTGCAACCTGCTGGGGATGAGAGACTGCAGCAAAGAGGGATTAAGCATTAAGGGGTGAGGAGCAAAAATCTCCACAGCTCTATCCATTTCAGTAACCTGGCTACATTCTGGCCCTATTTGCTGCAGCATAAGCACAAAGCTTTAGTCATATTATATTCTCCACAGATTATAGCCCTCATGCTGGTACAATACCCATCTGCCCATTCAAAAACCTCCAGACTTGTTTTGTCATGCCCAAAGCCCTTAAGATTTGGCCAAAACAAAAGAAATGGATCCATACATCAAGTACACAATTAACACTTCTTCTATTCAAATGGAGTTAATTAAGATCTCATCTGAGCCATAAAGACTTCTTGAAGCTGAAAATCTATTTAGGACAAATTTAAAGGTTAACAGGAGTTGTCAATATATGATCTTAATTGTCAATGTATACTCTCAAGGGTATTGATACTCCAGTTCAGCAGCATCTCACTGGAGCAGGACTTCAATGTAAAGCAATTATTTTACAGAGTTGAGACTAATTTACTGCTGTAATACATGGTAGACCAGGCTGAATTTAGACATGTAATAGTACATAACTCTAGAAAAGATTTTATTATTTGAAGCAGAAAACTGAGAATTTACCTCCCATTTTCAATATTGTTTCCTTAGATAATTATGAACACATACATAAGATAAGGAGATTGGAACAAAGTGTTATGAGCACAAGTTGATCATCTTGTGCACTCAGAGACTTCAGCAAGAGCTTTGATATCCAGAGCTGATGGCAGCCCCTTGACTACATCTACATCTGGCTCCAACTCATTTCTAAAGAGCAGTACAAGAATTATAGTATTTTTTTTCCCCCCATACCTATTAAGCTCAGGCTTTATAAACCTGCCCTGCTGATACACCATAACCCAAAGCATCACAGAGAGCAATGATATCATCCTGGGCAGCTTGCTACTGCAACTGTCTCTGAATTCTCTTAGCCAACATTTAATTGCAGCCTGCTAATTAACTGACAGGATTGCAAAGTGTGACAGCCTGCAGCAGAGGGGAGTTCTAGACCTTCTCAGCCTGGTGGCTTTCAGATTCAGCTATTCAGTCTTTTCCTGGGAGTTTTAAGTGAAATCTTGCAACTCATCCTGTCCAAAATAAAATCTACAATTTCAATATTACAACATGTACRGTCACTTATCTTTGCAGCATTAAGCTTTTTCATTCCTATATCCCTGTCTCGCATTGCACTATTTTAGCTATCACATTGCTCCTTCAGCAAATACATTTCACATGTTTTCCATTAGACAACTCAGTAGTAGCTAAGCAATGAGTATCATTTCTGTGTAGGTGATTTCACACTGATCTGTCTCAAACTTCATTTACACAGATTTAAGGGGCATAAAAAYTATTATCAATTGGCAATTTTTTCCCTGAAGAGTTATTTCTTGTTTTCCTGACATYTTCCTCATTTTGATTCATCTTTAATTTACATAATATATAATCCCAATGAACACAATTTTTTCTTAAGCTTGAAGTAGTTCTTTAGCCATTGTACCCTGACCCCTTTTACTCGGCAGTCAGTGCAATACAGCCCTGGCAGCAGACTCCTGCCCTCCCAGTTAGCAGAAACACCTGGGAGCAAACTGGGAATGTATTGATTTTTCCACATAGCTGCTGGCTACACATCCATATTCATAATACAYCATGGAATCTCTGGCTTTTATCAAAATATGATAGAAGAATGAAATTGAAGCAAAAGTATATGCAAAAAATATGAAATTAATGGACACGTTAATCCCTTGGCACAGAGAAAGAGAACATTACAAACCAAGTTCAGCAAATTCTTTTTTTGCCTTTGTTATTCCTATTTCTGCTTAAATAGGAATATTCTTATATTCCATATTCTAGCCTAATCCTGAAGTGGTACAATCAGAAGCTTGTGGCTTTACAACCTCCTTCCATTTATAAACTAATTTCAAGAACTCTGAAAATGCATTTTCACAGGACCCCTTTCCAGTCCAAGACTATGCCCACAACTTGGACAGGTCAGCAAGTCCTATTATTTCGGCCATTTGCAAACTAAGGAAATAGCATGATAAATTGTTAGCTGTTAAATGATAATTGGTAAATGTTAATTCTACCTACTTCAGCTCTCTGCTGAAATATATTAAAAGAGTCAGCAGAGTCTGGTTYGGAGAAGACCCCCCAAAGACAAAAGACTTCTCTTTGGAGAAGACAAGTTCTGCCTRGGGAAGATATCCTTGTAAAAAACAACAAAGGAAAGAGTATACCAGTTGTTAAGGCTGGTCACATCACTTAAATCACTTTTTTGGTTAAGCTAATAAGCCTGATGGTTGCAAAGAAAAAAAAAGACAGCCCAACTGCACTTCTGCAAACCCTCTACCACAAAGTAATTTCTTACAGTAACACAAGACAAACAGCTGGAGGGGTCAAGGCCATGAACAGACCAATCTGCAATTACCAGATGTTGCTGGCAGACACCTTTAATCATGGTCAAGCTCCATCTGCCCATTATTTTTTTTTCTACCAGCCTGTCTCATCACCCTTTTCATTTTCAAGCTTCAGAGTAGGGCTCAGTCTTATCCCTACAAGTGCCAGGCACAAGAATCCCCAGTCTCACTTGGACCTCCAGGAGCTACTGTGCTGCAGACTAACAGCTGAGAAAGATCAATTTGCATAAACACGTCCTGCAATTTTACAGTAAATAATGGACCTTAAAATCCCTCCTGTTGGCTTTCCACACTCAGATAAACTAGAAAGGAGAAAACACAACCAAGAGGCTGTAGCTCAACCCCCTGCACAGCTGCAGAGCATGGCTCTGGGCAAAGCTACCTCCACAGCAGAGCAGAACCCCAAGCTCCACACTGGATTGGAAGCATTTCTGCTTCATTACCTGGCAAGTAGATATAGTCTATTCTTTCAGTTGCATTAAAGATAAATGCTCCTTGTTCAGAACAACTTGTAATGCAGTTTAGACAGAGTTATTAGTAGTGAGGTCTTAGGTTCAGGACCAGATGCTTAAAGAAAGTAACCAGCTCCTCAGTGCTGTTAGTGCTGAAAGACTCACTGCAAAGCCCCTGTATTTCTTTGGTCATTATTATATGAAAGTAGAATAATTTTTTCCACAGCGACATACACAAGGACCTCTCTGCAGCATAGGCAAAACATCCAAATAATATTAATCTTAGGAGTTCTTCCAAATTTCTCAAAGGAGGTTTGGTACCATTGTCATTTAAGTAATGTTTGAAGGAAGTGTCAACAATGCTTCGTAGGATATGCTGTTACACTGATACATATGTATTAGTTGTGGGACCATAGACACAGTTTGGAAAGTGCCCAGAACTACTTTTTCTGAGAAAAATTGAGCTTTGAGAGGTCTTCACTTTGGAGTTGAGAACCTGAAGCAAATAGGTATTTCTGGTGCTCATGCCGCAATTCCCCCCCACCCCCAGTTTGGTCTCCAAAAATCTCCACTCAGTGAAACATGYGATTCCCCTCAAAGTATTTGCTTGCATGAGGCACTTAGTTGTGCTCTCTGTCCATGTCTTCAATAACAGAAATACATCAGCAAATAGATTACAGATATCTGAGGCATTCAGAAGACAGCCCTCACAAACACTAAGACTCTGGGTTTGTTCAAAGGAATGGAAACTAAACCTGTCACATTTTCAGAGAACAGTCTGTTTTAACATGATATTCTGAGTAGAGGCAATTAAAATTTGATAGAAAAGGACCTTTAGCCCCTGCCAGCACAATTTAAGACTTCACATAAACAGTAATGTCTCAGCAGAGAAAAGTCTTTCCATATATTTCCCCCACAACCAGATAATTCAGTGCTAAGCAGGATGGTTTTACACACATGAACAGCAGAAATTCTGATTATATCACATCAACTTGATTCATTCTAATTCTTTTAGTGAAGTTGATTCTGTTTGAGCCTACTGCATGAGCTAGTAGTGCAATAGGAACACAATTTATGGGTGTATGTTAAGCATTTTCCAGGTGAGCCACACTGATCATATGCTTTTATGGTCTAATTCATCCCATCCTTTATTTCACACACCTGCAGTTGCTGTGGKAAAAGGCTTGACAGATGATCCTGCAAGAAAGCATTTAGAACCTGCCAGTATTGGCACACTTGCTCACATGCACCAGGTAAAATGCTGGTCCTGCATGTTTCATATTCACTAAAAGCAYCTTTAGCTCCTGACATTCAAATGACTCCATCATATCCATGCATCTCAAGAATTTTACAGTAAAGAAAAAACAACTCAATTGAAAAAGGAAGACAGTGTATAGAGCATGTCAGTCTTTCTGCAGGACTTGTTTTTCTTGCAGTTTTAGCATGCAAAAGAGTTACCCAATGGCATTTCTGGTCAGAAAGCCAGTCTGAGGGAAACCAATGTGCTCTTGGCTAAGTGAACTGGCAGGCAGAAAGGTACTGGTTCCAAGTGAATTGTAAACCAGATATCCCATTCATCACACTGGCATATTAAC